AAATGAATATCTATGACTGGGACTGTTTCTGGCACAACCACTACACAGATCACTGTCAAGTGGCATGTGAGAGAAGTGAGGTGGCGGTCATCATCAGTTCATCCCTAACACTGTGTTAGGTATTTTACATATATATGTACATGGCAAAACACTGGCATATTCATTAGTAAACATAATGTATTTGTATGATCAAAGGTGTCCATGAATGTAATTAAACATTCAACGTCAGATTTACTTTTAGTTATCAGTATAATGAGATATTACACACAATATCAGCTAGGAAACTTAGCTTGCTCTACTTAATACTCTGGTCTTATTAATCAAATGCTTTCTGCTAAACAAAATTAACAACTGCTTGAGTTTTTAAAACACAACATTTTCTGTAAAAATATAGCTAAGGACAATCAGTTCTACAACCACTCGCCTACGACTCAAACCCGAGAGCACGACAATCATAACTTGACCCATTTATGCATCACTTCAAGTCCATTTACACAGATGAACTCTTGTGTATAATGCTACAAGTTTATAAAACAACCTATTTCCAAAACCAGCACGATGCTGGTCCCAGCTCGGGCATGGTGCTGGTCCCAGCTCGAGCATGGTGCTGGTCCCAGCTCGTGCATGGTGTTGGTCCCAGCTCGTGCATGGTGCTGGTCCCAGCTCGTGCATGATGCTGGTCCCAGCTCGTGCATGGTGCTGGTCCCAGCTCGTGCATGGTGTTGGTCCCAGCTCCTGCATGGTGCTGGTCCCAGCTCGTGCATGGTGCTGGTCCCAGCTCGTGCATGGTGCTGGTCCCAGCTCGTGCATGGTGCTGGTCCCAGCTCGTGCATGGTGCTGGTCCCAGCTCCTGCATGGTGCTGGTCCCAGCTCGTGCATGGTGCTGGGACCAGCATTTGAACTAATCCATAAAGGGTTACAAACACACACAATAGATATAAATGATGTTGAACTGTTGCTTTCCATTCCGAGATGAATCAGACCAACAACAACAACAACACACTTTCTCCCTTACATTGCATTGTATTTTATCGACTAAATTGTTTTAGAGAGGTTTGGCAGAAATATCCTACTGAACATACAATAATGGATCAAACACTATTGTATTTAACCTCAACATGATTTCCGTATAATTTGCAATACTTTTTAAATGTCAAATTTGCCAACCTGGATAAATAAAACTACAACATGCAACAGGAAGCCTAATTACTGCTACTTGTAACATCAGTGGAAATGAAACAAAGGTGAATTTTACCATAATAAATCTAACCGGAATCTTGGAGAATTACATTACAGCATTTGAGATTTATTTTGAAACTTCTGTATCTTTGTCATGTATGCAAAGTTGTTCAGTTTTGATTCATTTTTTTTTAATACAGCTCACTCAATTAACAAAATTTGAATGTAGTTGGGATACTTTGGCCAGGTATGTGGAACTGAAGATCCGTAGGTTAGTCCTCGGGCAGCACCCATTACAGGAGTGCCCTCACAAGCATCCATGCTGTACATGGGGAAATTGTTCTACTGTTGTTTCTGTGTGACATGAGCATTCAAGCATTAACGTCTACATTCCTGGATTTATCGCAAAAACACAAAGCCTCCTGTCACTATGTCAATCCAAAACACACAGTGTGTCAGCCAAGGCTTCTTCTAACAACCCTGAGAAGAGAAAATGTGAAGCATTGAAGAATGAAGTGTGTGTTTATTGGTAAACATTCAAGTGCCATCTCTATGTGTACTCACCTAGTCGTGCTTGTGGGTGTTGAGCTTCGGCTCTTTGGTCCCGCCTCTCGACTGTCAATCAACTGGTGTACAGGTTCCTGAGCCTATTGGGCTCGGGAACGTATCATATCTACATTTGAAACTGTGTATGGAGTCAGCCTCCACCACATCACTGCCTAATGCATTCCAAGCATTAACTACCCTGACATTGAAAAAGTTCTTTCTAATGTCTATGTGGCTTATTTGGGTACTCAGTTTCCACCTGAGTCCCCTTGTTCATGTCCTGCCCATGCTAAATATTTTGTCTTTGTTCAACACTGAATACAGTATACTCACCTTGTCCACACTGAGTACAAAGTGTCACTGTAGGTACATTGTGAGCAAGTGATAAGACCATAGGTATCAGGATGATACTTAGAAAACCAAAAAGGTAATGTGGTGCTGATGCAGTGTGGGAATGGCCCAGGAAAACACTTAAATTAAAAATATATGTCAATGTTGGGAAAGCTGATAATGGAAACTGCTGGTAAATTCCACATGCAAATAAATAGTTGCAAGCAATGTACTGCTTTTGATGGGCCTCAACTGTTTCAGGCAACATTGTCACCTCTTGTTCCTAGCTCTTCAAACAATTCCGGTGCAATCAATCCATTAAATCCAAACATGTAATGCCGCTGCAAACAACTTTAGTGAATCACAAATATCACATTTAGTGAGCAAATAATTTTCTGAAAAGAGACGGTTGGTGGTTTGGATAAACGATGTATGACTGAAACTTTGCAGCTATTTTGCGCAACAAAAGTACCATTCATACACCTGTGTAGGACGTGTGGATATGAATTAGTGAGTGTGAGAGAGAGATGAATTAAAGAGTATGGGGTAATTAATATATTAAAATGAGAAATTAACAAATTAATGCATTAAAACAAATATGAGTAAATGAATCAGAAAGAATGAATGCAGTAAATGGGAATGAGTGAGTCAATGAACATGAGGTAAGGTGTTGACTATGTCAAGGTATTTACCTCATACATAAAGGTCAATGAAATACACAGTTGTCTGAAACAACATGTATATAAAAAATACATTAAATTTCATACTTAAATAGACTGGCTACTTTATGAGACATAAAACCTTGATCATGAAGCGTCAAGCTGCATATATGCACAGCCAATGGTTACAAAATTACATGGAAACTTAACATGTAAATTCATTATTAGACTCTTTGGGACAGTTAATCTTTCATAATACTTAGTCCTTAATAATGAATAAATGTGCCAATCCAAACTCTTCAACTGCTCTTAGTTTCTACCCATCATCAAATAAACACTTTGACATATGATAGAGGCTACCGACACAAATATGAAAAACGCAACATAAGGACTACCCTCTACGGTCAACAAAGTTTGCCATGGTGAGCTCATCCTCCTGCAATGTTCCTCACCAATCAAAAAGATATCTACTTAAGTGCAATGAAGCTTTAAATTTCCTTGAATACTAATTACTTATCAATGAATCATTGTACTTAATTTCAATGCAAACCAATATTTATATGTAATCTACTTCCACTTGATTATGGCTGCATCCATAAATGCAGTCTAAAACTGACAGATCACAACATAAATATAAGATGTCCATTAAGTAACAAGTTCTGCCATCTAAGTTTGTTGCTACAGTACATGTTAAAATCAGAAAGTAAGGAGTACAGTACTTATGTCCTTCATAAATATACTACGTACTGTAGCAACAAGGACGCATTTCCTCGTCACAGGAATTCTGTTGCAACTCGGGTTAATTGTACCCTCGGAAATATTTTAGAGTCATTTTTTTTTCCTGCTGTCAATTATTTTTGTAGCTTTATACTTGCATATGGATCAAGATGTAGAATACAAATCTGTTAATGCCATACCTTAAAAAACTGCCATAAGTAACCAAAGACCCTATTTATAATACAAAATATTCTTACTTTAAAAAAAAAAAAAAAGCCGATGTCACAACTGCAAGAGAAATAACAGGTTGGATAACAAGACCTTCCAAACAAGGGATGCCATACCAATGATGATACTTGTCACGACACTAGTGCTCTCTAGTGTGGAATATTATCATCCACAAACAGCCCTATTCAAAACTAGACAACTGCTGACCTGGGAAACCTTCAGAGATCTTTACCTGACCAATTCCATTCAATAAAACATCTAAATTATTTGAAATGTTTAAAATTTCTCACTCTATTCGTTAGAGTACAGTCAAGAGATACATAATGATTTACCTTTTGGAAAATATTAAAGAGAAACTGGTTCTAAATCTGCACGCAGAAATAACTCGTGAGACAAAGAGGCATGGCAGGAAGTGAAAAATTGTCCTGCTGAAGAGCAGAGGTGCAGTAGATATGCTGAAAAAATTCTATCGATATTAAAGGATCAAGACTTTTCAATATTTTTCCTCTAAATATAAGGGGCATAAATAGCTGCTCTCTGTGTTCAAAAGAATTTTATAAATACTTTCAAACAATCAACTTTCCTGTGATTGAAATTTCAGACAGCGAGCTGTTGTATCTAACCGCCTGGTTGACCAGACCGCCTACCAGGAGTCCTGGTCAGACACAAGGCTGCAGGGACTCTGATTCCTGCACCAACAAAAGGTAAGTAGCATGATAAGTGTCAGATACTGAGATGGTAGGCCAGTACACAAGCTTGGAGAGTATCAGCTGGTGTAGGCAAGTACACAAGCTTGGAGAGTATCAGCTGGTGTAGGCCAGTACACAAGCTTGGAGAGTATCAGCTGGTGTAGGCAAGTACACAAGCTTGGAGAGTATCAGCTGGTGTAGGCAAGTACACAAGCTTGGAGAGTATCAGCTGGTGTAGGCTAGTACACAAGCTTGGAGAGTATCAGCTGGTGTAGACAAGTACACAAGCTTGGAGAGTATCAGCTGGTGTAGGCAAGTACACAAGCTTGGAGAGTATCAGCTGGTGTAGGCAAGTACACAAGCTTGGAGAGTATCAGCTGGTGTAGACAAGTACACAAGCTTGGAGAGTATCAGCTGGTGTAGGCAAGTACACAAGCTTGGAGAGTATCAGCTGGTGTAGGCCAGTACACAAGCTTGGAGAGTATCAGCTGGTGTAGACAAGTACACAAGCTTGGAGAGTATCAGCTGGTGTAGGCCAGTACACAAGCTTGGAGAGTATCAGCTGGTGTAGGCAAGTACACAAGCTTGGAGAGTATCAGCTGGTGTAGACAAGTACACAAGCTTGGAGAGTATCAGCTGGTGTAGGCCAGTACACAAGCTTGGAGAGTATCAGCTGGTGTAGACAAGTACACAAGCTTGGAGAGTATCAGCTGGTGTAGGCAAGTACACAAGCTTGGAGAGTATCAGCTGGTGTAGGCCAGTACACAAGCAGCTGGTGTAGGCAGTACACAAGCTTGGAGAGTATCAGCTGGTGTAGGCAAGTACACAAGCTTGGAGAGTATCAGCTGGTGTAGGCAAGTACACAAGCTTGGAGAGTATCAGCTGGTGTAGGCAAGTACACAAGCTTGGAGAGTATCAGCTGGTGTAGGCAAGTACACAAGCTTGGAGAGTATCAGCTGGTGTAGGGAGAGTATCAGCTGGTGTAGGCAAGTACACAAGTACAGCTGGTGTACAGCTTGGAGAGTATCATCTGGTGTAGTACACAAGCAGCTGGTGTAGGCAAGCTTGGAGAGTATCAGCTGGTGTAGGCCAGTACTTATCAGCTGGTGTAGGCAGTACACAAGCTTGGAGAGTATCAGCTGGTGTAGGCTACACAAGCTTGGAGAGCTGGTGTAGGCCATCAGCTGGTGTAGGCAACACAAGCTTGGAGAGTATCAGCTGGTGTAGGCCAAGTACACAAGCTTGGAGAGTATCAGCTGGTGTAGTACACAAGCTTGGAGAGTATCAGCTGGTGTAGACAAGTACACAAGCTTGGAGAGTATCAGCTGGTGTAGGCAAGTACACAAGCTTGGAGAGTATCAGCTGGTGTAGGCAAGTACACAAGCTTGGAGAGTATCAGCTGGTGTAGGCAAGTACACAAGCTTGGAGAGTATCAGCTGGTGTAGGCCAGTACACAAGCTTGGAGAGTATCAGCTGGTGTAGGCAAGTACACAAGCTTGGAGAGTATCAGCTGGTGTAGGCAAGTACACAAGCTTGGAGAGTATCAGCTGGTGTAGGCAAGTACACAAGCTTGGAGAGTATCAGCTGGTGTAGGCAAGTACACAAGCTTGGAGAGTATCAGCTGGTGTAGACAAGTGCACAAGATGCAGTGCCTGTCAGTCAGTCAGCAGCTGGTGTAAAGTATATAAGCCAATTATAGAAGATTGTGCCAGATGGGAACCCGTTATCTGAATCAATTCAAGATACTGATGCAAAAGGAGTTTTGTCCTGGCAAATATTGCACACATCCACTATTGCTCACAGTGGCAAAGGTGGTGGTCCTTGTGGCTACAAGCACCATGAAGCGATGATGTGCAAAGGTCAGGCATAAGTAGATTACTGAACTGGCAAAAGACAGAACTCTAGAGCACTGATGGAGGCCATATCTATCCTTGTCATTCACTAAGAAAGTGAAAGGAGTGTCCAAAGTCTCATTTGTAAATGAATTGATAACCATTTTGTACCAAAGGTGATTAGTTACCAAAGTTAGTTAGTAATGTTTGTATCAGATGGCAAGAATGTAGCAATTTCTTTGAGCCAACCTATGGAGAGAGGAGAATGTATAGAGACTTGCATGTGCTCTTTGAATTTACCGTGTGATAATGATCAGGCAGATTTCTGAAGGTTCTGTAGCCCCCCCCCCAAAAAAAAGAAGGCTTCTTGATAGAAAAAAGGAGGATAATAAACACAAAAGCAGTTAAACAATTCTAATACATGGTGTCAGGTATTGATTTTAGTGCTTGGGGATATGCTAAACACACAATACTCTCATGCTCTTTTTTATGAGCACTAGATCAGAAAGTAAGAAACAATTACAACTTGAAGACTGTTTGTTAAAGGGCTGCTTTGAATGCTCACATTAAGGAGTCTTTATCAGTTCATGGTATGGTAGCTCACATCCATGGCCAGCCCATCATCTACTCCACTTTATTAAGTGCACCAAAATACACCACACACATACTGTATAAGTTATTCTGTAACAACAGTATTCCTTAAGACCATACCAGGAACAATACTTTTAATCTTAATGAGTTCCATACTATTTTGTTTAAGTACCAGCAGTCCTGTTTTTACCCAATGTTTCAGGGTAATATACAGTATCTAGTTTTTGGTCCAGAAAGAAACACCTTGGTTGCTTGTGGATGTGTATATAATTCCCCAAGTGTAGTTACAGGATGAGAGCTATTCTCGTGGTGTCCCGTCTTCCCAGTACTCTTTGTCGTATTGAAACTACTGATGGTTTTGGCCTCCACCACCTTCTCACTTAACTTGTTCCAACTGTCTACCACTCTATTTGCAAAAGTGAATTTTCTTATGTATGTGTGTGTGTGTGTGTGTGTGTGTGTGTGTGTGTGTGTGTGTGTGTGTGTGTGTGTGTGTGTGTGTGTGTAATTACCTGTGTGTAATGTGTGTGTGTGTGTGTGTGTGTGTGTGTGTGTCTTCCCATGTGTGTGTGTACTGACGGTGTGTGTGTGTGTGTGTGTGTGTGTGTGTGTGTGTGTGTGTGTGTGTGTGTGTGTGTGTGTGTGTGTGTGTGTGTGTGTGTGTGTGTGTGTGTGTGTGTGTGTGTGTGTGTGTGTGTGTGTGTGTGTGTGTGTGTGTGTGTGTGTATGTGTGTGTGTATGTACTCACCTAGTGGAGTACACTGGGTGAGCTCACCTCACTTGTGTGTACACATATATTTATCTCATGCTCGACTGCATTATTCCATATGAAAACAATATTTTACTAAGAAACTACAAACTGTTAAGAAAGAGCAATTGCCATTTTCTTTGCGATTAATCCATATTACAGTATCACATTTAAAAGAAAAAAGTAATACTATCCATGTAAATTAAAATGAAAAATAAACACGGTGGTTTAAACGCTTTGCAAGGAAATACACACAATTTAGACAATGCAAATATACATTTCATCCCATTACAGTTTTGATAGACACATTAAAAGCTATGTGCCTCCACATGTGTCAGAGACCCAAGTGGACAGGTATAGCCTCATTTGAGGTAGCAACTATTTGTGACTATTCTCATGGCTCATATGCCACTCCACACAAATAAAATTATATTATATAAAAAATGCACGCCTATCGGGAAGCCCATGAATATTACCAAGTTATCGTTAGCTCTTCCAACACTGAAAAGGCTTTTATTTAAGTACAAAATGAGTGATTTGCTCGAGTAAATTTCTATGCATGGTGCCACAGTATGTGGAGGACTTATTTTATTACATAACAAATGGTAATAAACTGAATTTTAGTCTTTAAGAAATCAACTAGCATCTAATACAATAATTGTAAGTGATTGAAAGTGTTCAACATGTTGAACGAATAATCAGTGTTCTGGCAAAATATGTGGTCACACAAAAACCAACTACAGACAAATATAACAATGTTGGCGAATAATAGTCTGATAATGCAAGTTCACCTACACATCCAATATACTTCATCAATGTTACTAATGCCAAGCCACTAGCAATACTGACCAACAAACTCAAATGAAAGGTATCTTTAAACAAATCATTAAACAATTTATTAATGAGTAAATTATAATTATATAACAAATCTTATATATTTCTGAAAATTTTCGTAACTAAACTCCAAGCAATGTTTCACCTTTATTTAAGTAATCAGATAAGCAATAAAAGTGGAAAGTATACCTTTTGCTGGGTACATTGGCATCGTCACAGGAAATAATTAGCTGATGGATCTTTGGTTCATGGCCAAACATAAACTCTTGCATTATTCAGCATGACCCAAGGGAGACACTGGAATAAAATATTTTATAGTTTAAAGAAAAATAAATTAATCTGAGGTTTTCAAATGATAGTGACCTGCTCTGAGCATTGTCATTACTATATATATAGTATAGCCAAAACACAGCCTTCTAGTTGACAGAAACCCACAGCCTGTGACCAGCATTGGATCTATAAAGCATGAGCAAAGACTATCATTATGGCGTCTCCCTCACATGCGGCTGTATTTGGACACTTCATCCCAACTATGAAAGTATTTCATCATTAATATCACATACACACACACATTTGAAAATGACAATACAATGCCAGTCATGGCACGATGATCGCTGTGAAGGACACATCTGCAAGATGTTAACCTCACAAACAACATAACTTTACCTTGTATAACCTACGATACCCTCGTTACGGGTAAAGTCATGTTGCCCAGACTAAGGGCTACAAACAGTATCACTGCACAATAAACCTCAGTGTATCCTACTTCCTGCTGAGCACTACTAAACAAAAATACTCGAATAGTTTAAAATTTATTTTGTTATTTTCCCGACTTTAGAGACGACAGCATACTGTACACAATATATCCCTAAAACATTTCAGTAGACTGTCCAATATTCTAATTACAACATTTTATTTAATCCTAATTTTCTTATTTTTCATTTTATCTATATTTTTTGAAGGGAGTTATAACTTCTCACGAGTTGAACAGAATTTCTACCATCAAAAATAAATATGAGACAAAGGCAATGTCTGAGTTACCATGAAGATCAATATACTGATGCACAGTAAATTCTCTTGCAAGTTGACTCAATAATATGTATATTGACTGACAAGTCTACTCAATATCAATTATACTCAATGACAAGTATAATTGCTTTTAAAGATAACATCAAACCCAGCAAAGGTACTGTACTTTTATTGAGTAAATTTGATTATTGTTTGTATTGTATTATACAAGAGGCCAAGAAATTAAAGACACATCTATCGACTACATTTCTGAAACGCAGTGAACACCAATCATCTACAAGTGCAAAATATTGTTCAACAAGTACAAATAGGTAACTACACTATGAGTGGAACATTAATTTTTCAGTTTATAAAAAGTTTTTTAACAGTTTCACGCGTCCATTACTCGTATCCAAAACTCCTTGTATTACTCAGAGCTTAAAATAATGTAATGTTGAGCATAGAGAAACAAATAACAAAATGCCCACAAGAAAATAAATTTAGACAGCTATGTGGCCACACCTCATACTTCATGAACAGCTATGTGGCCACACCTCATACTTCATGAACAGCTGTGTGGCCACACCTCATACTTCATGAACAGCTATGTGTTGACCAGACCACACACTAGAAGTTGAAGGGACGACGACGTTTCGGTGTGTCCTGGACCATTCTCATCGACTTGAGAATGGTCCAGGACGGACCGAAACGTCGTCGTCCCTTCAACTTCTAGTGTGTGGTCTGGTCAACATACTTCAGCCACGTTATTGTGACTCATCGCCTGCAACAGCTATGTGGCCACACCTCATACTTCATGAACAGCTATGTGGCCACACCTCATACTTCATGAACAGCTATGTGGCCACACCTCTTCATGAACAGCTATGTGGCCACACCTCATACTTCATGAACAGCTATGTGGCCACACCTCATACTTCATGAACAGCTATGTGGCCACACCTCATACTTCATGAACAGCTATGTGGCCACACCTCATACTTCATGAACAGCTATGTGGCCACACCTCTTACTTCATGAACAGCTATGTGGCCACACCTCATACTTCATGAACAGCTATGTGGCCACACCTCATACTTCATGAACAGCTATGTGGCCACACCTCATACTTCATGAACAGCTATGTGGCCACACCTCATACTTCATGAACAGCTATGTGGCCACACCTCATACTTCATGAACAGCTATGTGGCCACACCTCATACTTCATGAACAGCTGTGTGGCCACACCTCTTCATGAACAGCTATGTGGCCACACCTCATACTTCATGAACAGCTGTGTGGCCACACCTCATACTTCATGAACAGCTGTGTGGCCACACCTCATACTTCATGAACAGCTATGTGGCCACACCTCATACTTCATGAACAGCTATGTGGCCACACCTCATACTTCACTCTTACCTCAAAAAATAGTGTGTGCACAACCGTTTCTACACACACGGTTGTACATACACGGTTCATTAGCTGATGTTCTCACTAGCGAACTCCAGTAATGCATCTTGGGCATTGGTGTAACAAAGGACTAACCAAAAATATAACAAACTAACAACATATACTATGAGTTTACAAAATGTGCTACTGCAATCTACGTCACATTACGTTTATCTCGGTCAAGTAAGAGTCAGCCTAGACTTCCAGTACCCAAACATCAATCAGGAAAGTTTGAATTTGCTTGAAATGAAGTCTATGTTACCATAGACAACTCATAAGTATCTAATCCTTTAAACTAAAATTAAACTATTTTCAATGCAGTAATGGATAGGCAAATTCTTGGAGCAAAGATATTATGTTTCAGTTCATTCATTCATCATGGCAGAGCACCTACAAAATTTACAGTCAAGACAATAGGGAACAGATACTAGTACAGTAGTCCTCGACTATCACCTCAGAATATTGTCAATGGTGTGTGTGTGTGCTTTAAACTTAGTGAACCCCGACCAGGGATGTAACCTCCCAATACTGAAAAGCCTAGCATCCTTGGGTCCTCAGCTCCACTTAAATGAGTCTTTTTCATGATAAAATATAGTGCTATATTGTAGCCGGCCTTACTTATCTCTGAGCATTAATGTGTACATTATTTGCAATGATCTGTCTTGGCTGTGACTGCTGATGGTGGTGGTGGTGGTGATGCTGTTGTTGAGTCATCATGGAAGGTGGTTGAAACTGCGGTGGTTGAAACTGTGGTGGTTGAAACTGCGGTGGTTGAAACTGTGGTGGTTGAAACTGTGGTGGTTGAAACTGTGGTGGCTGAAACTGTGGTGGCTGGAACTGTGGTGGTGGTGGTGAAAATCCCCCTGCAAATAAAATACAGTACAGTATATCACATGGAATCCTTTTTGGGGATTCTATAGGAAATTATTTCAGATATTACTGTACAGTACTGTACTTCAAAGCTTCTGCTAAGAATTTACATGAAAATATATAATATATTTAAATCTACAATAATAATAAATTGCAAACTGTTATAGGTGTTCTAGCATGTTTTACTTCCATAAAAACCCCACGAGACTATTCTTCACTTTACTGTGTTGCTACCAACATAATCTCTTCCTATGGTGGATATTGGCCTTCTCATGGGAGGCCAAGATAGGATCTAATGGTTGGGTGAAGGCTGCCTGAGAGACCATTGCCAAAACAGCTGCTGTATGGAGAATTATGCCAGGGTACGCGTTTACTTGGGGAGTAGAAGAAACGATTCAAGGACTGCCTCAAGTGTTCCTCAGACACCTTGACATCAACACCAATACTTGGGAGTCGCTTGCTCAGGACCGTCCAACTTGGAAAAGCAAAGTCGTCACAGGAGCCCGTGTGGCAGAAAATAGATGGACTGTAGAGTCCCAGAGGAAAAGCGGCGTGCTCAAAGCTAGAGCAACTTCCACCTCTGCAGTAGCATCCACCCTCTTATGTCCCCTGTATGAGCGAGCCTTCCGGAACCAGATCGGTCTCGTCCTCCATCATCTGGTACACAGCCACCAGCCTTCCACCTGATATATTGAAGTCATGGTCATCTTTGAATCAGAAGGACGAACATCATCAATCAATATACTGTACTGTATTATATTATCTTGAGTGCAGGATATCGCATCCAGCCAAGGAGATTGCATAAAATTATTCGGATTTTACTGTGTTTACTACAGTATTACACTCTACATCCTGTTCGTTAGGAAGTTGAAGATCCATCTCCCAACTTTGCCAGAACTGTAACTGTAATTCCTTTTGCACGCATTTTGTGAGCAATATCACCATGGCCACATTTGTCGAAAGCTTTTGCAAAGTGTGTGTATATTACATCTACGTTTTGCTGTCTTTCATAGGAGCTAAGTCCATGTCATAGTGATCTAGCAATTGTGAGTGGCAGGAGCGTCCTGTTCTGAACCATTATTGCTCGGAGTTATGTAGATGTTGTGATTCCATGTGATTTGTAATCTTATTTCTTAGCATTCTTTCAAAAGTTTTTAATGATGTGTGATGTTAGAGCTATTGGTCTATAATTTTTCGATACCTGCTTGATGGGCAGGTATAAAAACCTACCTCCTTAGTGAAGTGGCGTGATCTCTGCTGTTTTAACTATGACAAAATGACACCAATATCTAGGCTCTGTCTCCAAAAAATGTTTAGGGCCTGGGATAGTGGTGTTTTGCATTTCTTGATGAATATAGAGTTCCAGGAGTCTGGGCCTGGTGCAGAGTGCATGGGCATGCTGTCTATGGTTTCTTCAAAGTCCAGTGGGGTTAGGATGATATCTGATACAGTATATGGTTCGATTATAGTGTCGCATTCATGAGAATTCATTTGAATCATTGATCTTCAATATGTTCAGGAGTTCACTGAAAACAATCACTGAAGCCTCAGTATTTCATTCCGCTCCAAGCAACAGCTTGTTGGACCAAGTTATCACTAGTCGGAGTAGGAGAATTCTTGGAACCCTCTCTAGGTAAACTCCGGGTAGGGCAATGGATATTAAAGTATATGTCAAACGGAATGCAAATAATAACAGTCAATCAGATAGAGTTCAAGCACAGTGAAAAGCTCTGTATCTCACAGCACCGTCTTTGCACCATTGGTTTCCCCTATCCTCATATCAGATATAGACAAAAATACAAGTCCCAGCTTCATGTCATCTGGAAAAGATGACACAAAAATCAGCATGAAAATTACTTCTGAGAAGATATTGAAAACTACAAGCTGATATTAATAAAGTTTTCAACTGGGCAGCAGAAAATAATATGATGTTCAACGGTGATAAATTCCAGGTACTGTACTAAGGTTAAGTAAAAATGAGGACCTTAAACAAAATACAGGAACAAAACAATCAATTTTGCCCACAGTATAAAAGCAACTTGTAAAGGATTTGGGAATAATGATGTCTGACGACCTAACGTTTGGGGTGAACACATCCAAGCAAATATAGCATCAGCTTGAACCTTCAGATCTGGGGATCCAATCTCAATGCTCATGTTGTTCAAATCACTGGTGCTATTCCAGACTGAGTACTGCTCAATACTCACGTTTCCATCAGAGTTTAGTTTAGTCATTTATTATGTAGCCCATACCCATCCCATGGGCAGTTGTGGAATGGGTTACAGAGGCAAATACTGTAATGGGTTATCCAGATCTTACCTGGAGGTGGTCTCGGGAGCTTTTCGACTTTCTCTACTTATGATAACTTGGTCCAACAGGCTGTTCCTTGCAGCTGCCCATAGGCCCACATTTCCACTACCGCCCGGCTGGTCCAGTACTTCTTGCAAGAACTTATCTAACGGGTTCTTGGAGAAATCCACCTTTGTTTCAGCAATATTTCCAATGCATGCTGGGAGAGTATTGAACAGCTGTGGTCTTCTGATGTTCAGACAATGCTCTCTGATTGTGTCTATGGCACCTCTACTTTTCACTGGTTCTATTCTACATTTCCTTCCATATATTTCTCTTCAGTATGTTGTTTTTCTACTGTGCAAATTTGGGACCTGACCTTCCAGTATCTTCCATATACAGTATATATTATTTGATACCTGTGGGGTTCAGGAACTGAATCCTACAGTTCATTTAGCTAATCAAGTAACAATCTTGTAAAGCTAGCTACACAATTTTCTTTTTCTTTTACACAAATACACATACATACATCAATAGTCTTTTTACATCACAAATGATTTAAAAAGTGACCTACAACAGTCTACACAGGCAGTTTACATCTATGGTGAGTCAGTTACATGGTTACAAATCCTGCTCCACACCTGTGACATCTGTCATGTCATAGAGAGCTATACATAACCCATTAAATAATATATACTGTACATGGAAAATACTAGAAGGGCCAGGTCCCAAATTTGCACAGTAAAATAACAACATATTGGAGTGAACGATATGGAAGGAAATGCAGAATAGAGCCAGTGAAGAGTAGAAGTGTGATAAGCACAATCAGAGAACACTGAACATCAGAGGTCCATGGTTATTCCAAATCTTTCCAGCAAGTATAAGAAATATTGCCACAGCAAAACGTGGAATTCAAGAAAAAACTGTACAGGTTTCTCCAAGAAGTGCCAGACCAATCGGGCACCGGGTAGTGGATATTTGGGCCTGCAGTCAAATCACACTATAGAACGAAAAAGCAATGTAAAGGATCTGGGAGTATTTGTTTCTGAAGTCCTTACATTTAAAGGCCACAATAAAGTAGCTGTCACGACTGCAAGAAAATGACAGGTTGGATAACAAGGACCATATAAACAAGGGATGTCATACCAATGATGAGACTTTTCATGGCCCTAGTGTTCTTTAGGGGTGGAATACTGTTGAATTCAAGGTCCCATTTAAGGCTGGAGAAATTGATGACCTAGAGAGTGTGCAAAAATCCTTTACTGCGAGAATCCACTCTATAAAACATCTAAATTATTGGGACCGATTAAAAGTTCTAAATCTGTATTCTCTAGAGCGCAGGCATGAGAGATACACAATAATCTACATGTAGAAAATATTAGAGGGACTGGTTCCAAATCTGAACATGGAGATTACATCACATGAAACCTATAGACATAGCAAGATGTCCAAAATAGCCTCATTGAAATGCAGAGGTGAATGAAGGCTGACAGAGAACACACTCAGCATCAAAGGCCCAAGACTTTTCAACACTTCTGCTACACATTGTAGTACAGGATGATGATAGTGAGTGGTGTCCCAGAGAACATAAAGGTATAGTGCTTTTGAAAAATAGGTGAGATAATAGGAATGTGCCAAGGGAAGTGAAATAGTGGATGAGAAAAAGTTACCCCTAGTGTTTCCAGTGCAGAGAACAACATTCAAGATGGCCGCCTGCAAGAGGAAATACAAAACAGAGCTTGATTTTGCTGGATTCAGTGAAGAAAGCATTGAGATAACCAGTCTATACAACAAGGTGGTAAAATTAGATACTATTGTGACCTCTCATGTAGAAATAATTAGTAAATTGAAAGAAAGTAATGACCATTTAAATAGCAAAGTTGTATGTCTTGAGGGTAATTACCTAAGTGTAATTACCTAAGTGTAGTTACAGGATGAGAGCTACGCTCGTGGTGTCCCGTCTTCCCAGCACTCTTTGTCATATAACGCTTTGAAACTACCTTTGAAAACTTTGAAACTTTGAAACTTTGAAAAAAAAAAGGGTGTAGTGAAAGACTTGCGCAAGGATAAGATTCAATTGGAAACAAATTGCAAAGCCATGGAAGAAGAAAATAGACTCTTAAAAATAGCTTTGGAAGAAGTTAAAGTAAATTTAAACATAAATGACTACAATAGGTTAGGTAAGGAATTTCAACAGGAGAAACAGCTTTTGTCAGCACAGATGGAGGAAGTTACACAGGGAATAGAACAGTGCAAGAAAGATATGCAACTCACCTATGCACAAGTGGCCAAGGAGAAGGAAAAAATTGAAGAAGCAGTAAAGGAAGCCAAACACTGCAGCAACCAAGATAAAACAAACATTAGGCTGGAAGTGAGGAAAGAATTGGCATCTAACCCGAAGTTGGTGCAAAACACAGTTGATCGGAGTAAGTCCCTGATCATTTTTGGCTGCAAGGAAAAGGAGATAACATCTAGGTCAGAAAGAGCTGTAGAAGAAGCAAAAGTAGTAGATAAAATTGTTGGCCTCGTGGAAGGTCTTACAACCAGAGAATGTCTGCGACTACAGGAGAATAGGCAGATATTTTAAAGGGAAAGATTGACCTTTGAGGATCACCCTAAATGGTACCAAACAGATGGAAGAAGTACTAAGGAATGCTAGAAAATTACAAAGTGATGAGGATGGGAAAGTGTGGTCGTTAAGACGAGATCTTTCAAAAGAAGATAGAGAGAAGCTGAAACTGAACCTCGCCGAGGCAAAACGTTTAAATGAGAGCAGGAATGAAGAAGAAATCAATTCTTTTTTCTACAAAGTGATAGGGGTAGGCAGGCCAGTAAAGTGGTACATAAAGGCAAACCAACAAAATCATTAAAGAAAGGGGGAGTGAAAAATAAGAAGAGGGGGAACAAGTTCCTCAAGATTGCATACACCAACATAGATGGAGTAAGATCAAAGATACTGGAGTTAAGTGATATAATACAGCTGCAGACACCAGACATTGTTGCACTCAAGGAGACAAAACTTGAAGATGCTATTTTAAATGAGGTCATATTCCCAAGGGGCTACTCAATTTGGAGACGGGACAGAAAAATCAGGAAAGGCGGTGGCGTGGCTGTGCTGGTGAAAGAACACCTAAAGGTGAACGAAATAGTGACTGCCAATCCACAAGAAGTTGACATAATAGCACTAGAGATCTGCCATGAGGATGATAAACTAATGATCATAAATGCATATAGTCCACCGCTAAGCAGCACATGGTCAAAGGAGGAGCTAGATAGTAAACGAGAAGGTCTTATAACAATAATGAGAGAGATCATAGCGAGAGCAGATAACGATAGTTCACGACTGTTGATAGTCGGCGACTTCAACTTGAAATCCATAGACTGGGAAACATGTGAAGCTAAAACAGAAGATTTCTGGACCTGTAAATTTGTAGACCTCATCCTGGAAACATTCTTGTATCAACATGTTAAACAAGCTACGAGGATGAGGGAAGGGGACGTCCCCTCCATGCTAGATTTGATATTTACCAGGAAGGAGGAAGAAATATTTGACATTCAGTACCTTCCTCCCTTGGGTAAAAGTGACCATGTCTTTTTGGGAATAAAGTATGCAATGCGTTATAATCTGGAAGAAAATATGACGGTCGATGCAAATGAAAAACCTGACTTTAGGAGAGGACATTATGGCAACCTTAGAAATTTTTTTAGTGAGTATAATTGGACAGACTTGTTGTTAGGCAAGGAAGTGAATGAGATGTATGTCAGGTTTTGTGAAATATATGATAAAGGCACAAAAAAATTTATACCAAAACAGAGAAGCAGAACTAGGAAACAGGATTGGTTCAACAGAAAGTGCGAGAGGGCCAGAGACCAAAAGACACAAAAATGGAATCAATACAGGAAGAGGCCGAACCCCCAAACATACCAGCGATACAAAGATGCGAGAAACAACTACACGGCAGTGAGGAGAGAGGCAGAAAGAAATTTTGAAAAAGGGATTGCAGACAAATGTAAAACAGAACCAGGTCTATTCTATAAATTCATAAACAACAAATTGCAGGTAAATAATAATATTCAGAGGTTGAAAATGGGAAATAGATTCACGGAAAATGAAAAGGAAATGTGTGAAACATTAAACGAAAAGTTCCAAAGTGTGTTTGTACAAAATGAAATCTTCAGGGAACCAGATACAATAAGAATTCCAGAGAACAACATAGAGGTGTCCAGAGACGAAGTGGAAAAAATGCTCAAGGAGCTAAATAAGAACAAAGCAGTTGGTCCAGATGGAGTTTCACCATGGGTTCTGAGAGAATGTGCACCTGAGCTCAGCATTCCTCTTCAACTGATTTTTCAGGCATCCCTGTATACAGGAGTTGTAGTTGATGTGTGGAAAAAGGCTAACATAGTTCCAATCTACAAAAGTGGAAGCAGGGAAGACCCCCTTAATTATAGACCGGTATCATTGACAAGTGTAATTGTCAAAATATTGGAAAAAATAATTAAATCTAAATGGACGTCCCCTTCCCTCATCCTCGTAGCTTGTTTAACATGTTGATACAAGAATGTTTCCAGGATGAGGTCTACAAATTTACAGGTCCAGAAATCTTCTGTTTTAGCTTTAGGTGTCTAGAGACGAAGTGGAAAAAATGCTCAAGGAGCTAAATAAGAACAAAGCAGTTGGTCCAGATGGAGTTTCACCATGGGTTCTGAGAGAATGTGCACCTGAGCTCAGCATTCCTCTTCAACTGATTTTTCAGGCATCCCTGTATACAGGAGTTGTAGCTGATGTGTGGAAAAAGGCTAACATAGTTCCAATCTACAAAAGTGGAAGCAGGGAAGACCCCCTTAATTATAGACCGGTATCATTGACAAGTGTAATAGTCAAAATATTGGAAAAAATAATTAAATCTAAATGGGTAGAACACCTGGAGAGAAATGATATGATATAATATCAGACAGACAGTATGGTTTTCGATCTGGAAGATCCTGTGTATCGAATTTACCCAGTTTCTATGATCGAGCCACAGAGATATTACAGGAAAGAGATGGTTGGGTTGACTGCATCTATCTGGACCTAAAAAAGGCTTTTGACAGAGTTCCACATAAGAGGTTGTTCTGGAAACTGGAAAATATTGGAGGAGTGACAGGTACGCTTCTAACATGGATGAAAAATTTTCTGACATAGAAAAATGAGGGCTGTGATCAGAGGCAATGTATCGGACTGGAGAAATGTCACAAGTGGAGTACCACAGGGTTCAGTTCTTGCACCAGTGATGTTTATTGTCTACATAAATGATCTACCAGATGGTATACAGAATTATATGAACATGTTTGCTGATGATGCTAAGATAATAGGAAGGATAAGAAACTTAGATGATTGTCATGCCCTTCAAGAAGACCTGGACAAAATAAGTACCGTACATGGAGCGTCACTTGGCAAATGGAATTTAATGTTAATAAATGCCATGTTATGGAATGTGGAATAGGAGAACATAGACCCCACACAACCTATATATTATGTGAGAAATCTTTTAAGAATTCTGATAAAGAAAGAGATCTAGGGGTGGTTCTAGATAGAAAACTATCACCTGAGGACCACATAAAGAATATCGTGTGAGGAGCCTATGCCACGCTTTCTAACTTCAGAATTGCTTTTAAATACATGGATGGCGATATACTAAAGAAATTGTTCATGACTTTTGTTAGGCCAAAGCTAGAATATGCAGCAGTTGTGTGGTGCCCATATCTTAAGAAACACATCAACAAACTGGAAAAGGTGCAAAGACATGCTACTAAGTGGCTCTCAGAACTGAAGAGCAAGAACTACGAGGAAAGGTTAGAGGCATTAAATATGCCAAAACTAGAAGACAGAAGAAAAAGAGGTGATATGATCACTACATACAAAATAGTAACAGGAATTGATAAAATCGATAGGGAAGATTTCCTGAGACCTGGAACTTTAAGAACAAGAGGTCATAGATATAGACTAGCTAAACACAGATGCCGAAGAAATATAAGAAAATTCACTTTCGCAAACAGAGTGGTAGACGGTTGGAACAAGTTAGGGGAGAAGGTGGTGGAGGCCAAGACCGTCAGTAGTTTCAAAGCGTTATATGACAAAGAGTACTGGGAAGACGGGACACCACGAGCGTAGCTCTCATCCTGTAACTACACTTAGGTAATTACACTTAGGTAATTACATAAGGGGCATAACTGGTCGGCCTCTCATAGTTGTTGACCAAATGACCAACCAGGAGGCCTGGTGAGAGACAAGGTCGCTAAGACGTTGATCTTCGTAACCTGCACAAAAACTGCTACTTCCCTGTTGAACAAAATACCCGGTACCATAATATATGTATGATCACTGCATTTCTTCAAGCATAAGTTGCACATATACAAGAGTGAGTTTGAGAGGATATAAATTGCAACTGTCTCATATATGGGTCAATAGGCTTTCCTTTATTCTTATGCTTCAATATAGCCACAAACTTATGGGGAGATTTCAAGAATATGAGTTGCAAATGAAAGCTATCTTTCCTCCTACAGTCTAATCTTATTTCCTTATACTGTCTTACGTACAAGTGATAATAAGCGTTCCTCTCTGACAGTACCAACTTTGATGATGTGATGAATCAGGGTTGACGACCAGACCCAAGGTATTATGATAGTGGCCCCAGTATTCAAGATTAACTAGATTTCAACACTGAATAAACGTTATTCTTGGATATTATGTCCACTGGAGAGGTACCTGGCAGAGACCCCAGGTGGCCAGACTCATGGTAACTAGGAGGTACCTGGCGGAGACCCCAGGTAACTAGGAGGTACCTGGCGGAGACCCCAGGTAACCACTCATGGTAACTAGGAGGTACCTGGCGGAGACCCTAGGTGGCCAGACTCATGGTAACTAGGAGGTTCCTGGCGGAGACCCCAGGTAACCAGACTCATGGTAACTAAGAGGTACCTGGCGGAGATCCCAGGTAACTAGGAGGTACCTGGCGGAGACCCCAGGTAACCAGACTCATGGTAACTAGGAGGTACCTGGCGGAGACCCCAGGTAACCAGACTCATGGTAACCAAGAGGCACCTGGCGGAGACCCCAGGTAACCAAGAGGCACCTGGCAGAGACCCCAGGTAACCAAGAGGCACCTGGCGGAGACCCCAGGTAACCAAGAGGTACCTGGCGGAGACCCCAGGTAACCAAGAGGCACCTGGCGGAGACCCCAGGTAACCAAGAGGTACCTGGCGGAGACCCCAGGTAACCAAGAGGCACCTGGCGGAGACCCCAGGTAACCAAGAGGCACCTGGCGGAGACCCCAGGTAACCAAGAGGCACCTGGCGGAGACCCCAGGTAACCAAGAGGCACCTGGCGGAGACCCCAGGTAACCAAGAGGTACCTGGCGGAGACCCCAGGTAACCAAGAGGTACCTGGCGGAGACCCCAGGTAACCAGACTCATGGTAACTAGGAGGTACCTGGCGGAGACCCCAGGTAACCAGACTCATGGTAACTAGGAGGTACCTGGCGGAGACCCCAGGTAACCAAGAGGTACCTGGCGGAGACCCCAGGTAACCAAGAGGTACCTGGCGGAGACCCCAGGTAACCAAGAGGTACCTGGCGGAGACCCCAGGTAACCAGACTCATGGTAACTAGGAGGTACCTGGCGGAGAGCTGGAGAGTTTATCTTGCGTCGACATCTTGGAGAAGGCAGCCAGGGCGTCTGGGAAGGCCGGGGGCGTCGCCGGGGTGTTGGCTGGCGTACACAACTGTTGGGGTAAGTAATCAGCATCAGTTACTCGCACACACCTTCTAGAGTGCGTGCATCACACACACACACACACACACACACACACACACACACACACACACACACACACACACACAGTGTGGTGAGGGAAACTCACTAATGATGAGATTCTCATAATAATGAACACCGGGAATACACGTAGACGTAATGGGACACAAGTAGACGTAACTAAGTAGACATAGTGGAACACAAGTAGACGTAATGGAACACAAGTAGACGTAATGGAACAAGTAGACACAATGGGACACAAGTAGACACAATGGGACACAAGTAGACGTAATGGAACATAAGTAGACGTAACTAAGTAGACATAGTGGAACACAAGTAGACGTAATGGAACACAAGTAGACGTAATGGAACACAAGTAGACGTAATGGAACACAAGTAGACGTAACTAAGTAGACATAGTGGAACACAAGTAGACGTAATGGAACACAAGTAGACGTAATGGAACACAGGTAGACGTAATGGAACACAAGTAGACGTAATTCAACACAAGTAGACGTAATGGAACACAAGTAGACGTAATGCAACACAAGTAGACGTAATGGAACACAAGTAGACGTAATGGAACACAGGTAGACGTAATGGAACACAGGTAGACGTAATGGAACACAGGTAGACGTAATGGAACACAAGTAGACGTAATGAAACACAAGTAGACGTAATGGAACACAAGTAGACGTAATGCAACACAAGTAGACATAGTGGAACACAAGTAGACGTAATGGAACACAAGTAGACGTAATGCAACACAAGTAGACGTAATGGAACACAGGTAGACGTAATGGAACACAGGTAGACGTAATGGAACACAGGTAGACGTAATGGAACACAGGTAGACGTAATGGAACACAAGTAGACGTAATGGAACACAAGTAGACGTAATGCAACACAAGTAGACGTAATGCAACACAAGTAGACATAGTGGAACACAAGTAGACGTAATGGAACACAAGTAGACGTAATGCAACACAAGTAGACGTAATGGAACACAGGTAGACGTAATGGAACACAGGTAGACGTAATGGAACACAGGTAGACATAATGGAACACAAGTAGACATAATGGGACACAAGTAGACGTAATGGAACATAAGTAGACGTAACTAAGTAGACATAGTGGAACACAAGTAGACGTAATGGAACACAAGTAGACGTAACTAAGTAGACATAGTGGAACACAAGTAGACGTAACTAAGTAGACATAGTGGAACACAAGTAGACGTAATGGAACACAAGTAGACATAATGGAACACAAGTAGACATAGTGGAACACAAGTAGACGTAATGGAACACAAGTAGACGTAACTAAGTAGACATAGTGGAACACAAGTAGACGTAACTAAGTAGACATAGTGGAACACAAGTAGACATAATGGAACACAAGTAGACATAATGGAACACAAGTAGACATAATGGAACACAAGTAGACATAATGAAACACAAGTAGACATAGTGGAACACAAGTAGACGTAATGGAACACAAGTAGACATAATGGAACACAAGTAGACATAATGGAACACAAGTAGACGTAACTAAGTAGACATAGTGGAACACAAGTAGACGTAACTAAGTAGACATAGTGGAACACAAGTAGACGTAATGGAACACAAGTAGACATAATGGAACACAAGTAGACATAATGGAACACAAGTAGACATAATGGAACACAAGTAGACGTAATGGAACACAAGTAGACGTAACTAAGTAGACATAGTGGAACACAAGTAGACGTAACTAAGTAGACATAGTGGAACACAAGTAGACATAGTGGAACACAAGTAGACGTAACTAAGTAGACATAGTGGAACACAAGTAGACATAGTGGAACACAAGTAGACGTAACTAAGTAGACATAGTGGAACACAAGTAGACGTAATGGAACACAAGTAGACATAATGGAACACAAGTAGACATAATGGAACACAAGTAGACATAGTGGAACACAAGTAGACATAATGGAACACAAGTAGACATAGTGGAACACAAGTAGACATAATGGAACACAAGTAGACATAATGGAACACAAGTAGACATAATGGAACACAAGTAGACATAATGGAACACAAGTAGACATAGTGGAACACAAGTAGACGTAATGGAACAAGTAGACACAATGGGACACAAGTAGACACAATGGGACACAAGTAGACGTAATGGAACATAAGTAGACGTAACTAAGTAGACATAGTGGAACACAAGTAGACGTAATGGAACACAAGTAGACGTAATGGAACACAAGTAGACGTAATGGAACACAAGTAGACGTAACTAAGTAGACATAGTGGAACACAAGTAGACGTAATGGAACACAAGTAGACGTAATTTAACACAGGTAGACGTAATGGAACACAAGTAGACGTAATGCAACACAAGTAGACGTAATGGAACACAAGTAGACGTAATGCAACACAAGTAGACGTAATGGAACACAAGTAGACGTAATGGAACACAGGTAGACGTAATGGAACACAGGTAGACGTAATGGAACACAGGTAGACGTAATGGAACACAAGTAGACGTAATGAAACACAAGTAGACGTAATGGAACACAAGTAGACGTAATGGAACACAAGTAGACATAGTGGAACACAAGTAGACGTAATGGAACACAAGTAGACGTAATGGAACACAAGTAGACGTAATGGAACACAGGTAGACGTAATGGAACACAGGTAGACGTAATGGAACACAGGTAGACGTAATGGAACACAGGTAGACGTAATGGAACACAAGTAGACGTAATGGAACACAAGTAGACGTAATGCAACACAAGTAGACGTAATGCAACACAAGTAGACATAGTGGAACACAAGTAGACGTAATGGAACACAAGTAGACGTAATGCAACACAAGTAGACGTAATGGAACACAGGTAGACGTAATGGAACACAGGTAGACGTAATGGAACACAGGTAGACGTAATGGAACACAAGTAGACATAATGGGACACAAGTAGACGTAATGGAACATAAGTAGACGTAACTAAGTAGACATAGTGGAACACAAGTAGACGTAATGGAACACAAGTAGACGTAACTAAGTAGACATAGTGGAACACAAGTAGACGTAACTAAGTAGACATAGTGGAACACAAGTAGACGTAATGGAACACAAGTAGACATAATGGAACACAAGTAGACATAGTGGAACACAAGTAGACGTAATGGAACACAAGTAGACGTAACTAAGTAGACATAGTGGAACACAAGTAGACGTAACTAAGTAGACATAGTGGAACACAAGTAGACATAATGGAACACAAGTAGACATAATGGAACACAAGTAGACATAATGGAACACAAGTAGACATAATGGAACACAAGTAGACATAGTGGAACACAAGTAGACGTAATGGAACACAAGTAGACATAATGGAACACAAGTAGACATAATGGAACACAAGTAGACGTAACTAAGTAGACATAGTGGAACACAAGTAGACGTAACTAAGTAGACATAGTGGAACACAAGTAGACGTAATGGAACACAAGTAGACATAATGGAACACAAGTAGACATAATGGAACACAAGTAGACATAATGGAACACAAGTAGACGTAATGGAACACAAGTAGACGTAACTAAGTAGACATAGTGGAACACAAGTAGACGTAACTAAGTAGACATAGTGGAACACAAGTAGACATAGTGGAACACAAGTAGACGTAACTAAGTAGACATAGTGGAACACAAGTAGACATAGTGGAACACAAGTAGACGTAACTAAGTAGACATAGTGGAACACAAGTAGACGTAATGGAACACAAGTAGACATAATGGAACACAAGTAGACATAGTGGAACACAAGTAGACATAGTGGAACACAAGTAGACATAGTGGAACACAAGTAGACATAATGGAACACAAGTAGACATAATGGAACACAAGTAGACATAATGGAACACAAGTAGACATAGTGGAACACAAGTAGACATAATGGAACACAAGTAGACATAATGGAACACAAGTAGACATAATGGAACACAAGTAGACATAATGGAACACAATTAGACGTAATGGAACACAAGTAGACACAATGTGACACAAGTAGACGTAATGGAACACAAGTAGACACAATGGGACACAAGTAGACACAATGGAACACAAGTAGACAAATGAAATTAAATCAATAATGTAAACAAAACTGGCATTCCATCCACGCCCCCCCCAGGGGTGCCAGTCCACGCCCCCCAGGGGGTGCCAGACCACGCCCCCCAGGGGGTGCCAGACCACGCCCCCAGGGGGTGCCAGACCACGCCCCCAGGGGGTGCCAGTCCACGCCCCCCAGGGGTGCCAGACCACGCCCCCCAGGGGTGCCAGACCACGCCCCCAGGGGTGCCAGACCACGCCCCCAGGGGGTGCCAGTCCACGCCTCCCAGGGGGTGCCAGTCCACGCCCCAAGGGGGTGCCAGTCTACGCCCCCCAGGGGGTGCCAGACCACGTCCCCAGGGTGCCAGACCACGCCCCCAGGGGCGCCAGACCACTCCCCCCAGGGTGCCAGTCCACGCCCCCAGGGGGTGCCAGTCCACGCCCCCAGGGGTGCCAGTCCACGCCCCCAGGGGTGCCAGTCCACGCCCCCAGGGGTGCCAGTCCACGCCCCCAGGGGTGCCAGTCCACGCCCCCAGGGGGTGCCAGTCCACGCCCCCAGGGGGTGCCAGTCCACGCCCCCAGGGGGTGCCAGTCCACGCCCCCAGGGTGCCAGACCACGCCCCCCAGGGGTGCCAGTCCACGCCCCCAGGGGGTGCCAGTCCACGCCCCCAGGGGGTGCCAGTCCACGCCCCCAGGGGGTGCCAGTCCACGCCCCCAGGGGGTGCCAGTCCACGCCCCCCAGGGGGTGCTAGTCCACGCCCCCAGGGGGTGCCAGTCCACGCCCCCAGGGGGTGCCAGTCCACGCCCCCAGGGGGTGCCAGTCCACGCCCCCAGGGGGTGCTAGTCCACGCCCCCCAGGGGGTGC